AAATAAAAGAATATAAGTAATATTATCATGTGTCACTTTTTAGAGAAAAATAAATTAAGAATTTTAATCACTCTCAAGATAAAGTATTCTAATTTAATATTTAAAAACTTAACCAATCTCAAAAAAGTTATATGACATGAGGTAACAGTGGACATAGTTACGATAATGAGTAATGCCTTTTTTCATAGCTCGACAAATAATTTGATAAGCCAATGATTCTTTTTCCGTGTTTTAGAATACGGTTCGGATATTGATCGAATTCATCTAATTCTTTTTTATTTGTCATTTAGTTTAGTTTAAATTTTGATTTATAATATTTTCGTTTTTAAAAGAGACTTGACCTATTATATAGAGCAAAATAAAACTGACTCAAGTTTTGAAAAAAGCCTTTTTAGAAAACACTTTTAATCACATTTTCTCTCCACATAAATCATGTAATGTTACTTTTTTTAACGTAAACATCCAATCTAGATAATCCAACAAAAAGTTCATGTTTTATAATTTTATAAACAATAACATTTAAATACAAAATTAAGTTCGTAAATCTATCCCAAATAGGGACGGATTATTTTTTGTCCCTAATAGGGAATGATTGTTTTTTGTCCCTAATAGGGAAGGATTGTTTTCCGTCCCTATTAGAGACAGATTTAGGGACGAATTTTATAAACCATATCCTAATTTTATCCCAAGTTGGGACGAACAATATTCTGTCCCTATTACGGACGGAATTAGGGACGAATTATGAAAATTAAACATACTTCGTCCCTAAGTTCGTTCCAAATAGGGACGAAATATTTTTCCATCTCAAAATCCGTCCCGACATAATTTATTTTGTTGCTAATTCCGTCCCAAATAGGGATAGATTGTTTTTTTGTCTCTAAATATGTTCCAATTAGGGACAGAATATTTTCCATATCTAAAATCTGTCTCTAATTCATACGTTTTTAGTAGTGGTTGTCATGTTAATTCTTTTGTTGTATTAATTTTTTGATATTTATGTATCATGTTAAATATGAAATATTTTATATGGTCAACATATGTAATATGATGTTGATTATTTGATAATTAAATTTTTTCATGAACTTTTACAGCTTTTATTTTTGTTTGAGTAAAGCCTTTTTGGGTCCCTAACAAAAAATACGGTCCTCTCTTTTGTTCCTTACAAAAAAAATACTCATATTAATTATTTTTTAGGGACTAAATTAGGTCTTCATTGAATTTTTAAGGGACTACATTTTCAAAGAAATGGAATTGTAGAGGGGCTAAAAGTTGACTTTTTTTTGTAAGGGACGAAAGTGAGAATCGTATTTTTTGTTAGGGACCCAAAAGAAGCTTTGTTTTTTTTTTTTTTTTTTTTTTATTGTTTACATTTCTATAGTTTAAGAAAACAATGGCTCATTAAACCGTAAGTCAACACGGGCTAGATTTGGGTTCGTAAATTTGGGCAAATAAGCTTACCCAACTCAATGACAAGTATACACACAATATGACCCCAAAACAAAAATATACGTACGGAGTTTGACTTATACGAAGGATGAGACAAATTAACAAAGAACACAAGATGTAGTGGAGAACATGATATTCATAAACTCTGACATCAAGGTTCGTTGTTGATGTAACATACAATTCAGATGAGATAAACCAGAAGCCATTGCAGCATGTTAGATTTAATTTTGGATAGCCGTAGCAGGTTGTTAGAGGATCAATGTGCTTTTGTATATATTTGTTATTCAATTGGAAATTATGCATTAGCATGTTGAAAGGGTGTAACATGAGGGATACCATGAGAATGTTGTTGATTTTCATGCATGTTTAGGCAAGGGATATAATGGATCCAGCTCTTTGGATGGGAGTCATACATCGTGTGGCAGAATCATACGAGATTCAGAAGGTAATTGGTTAATGGGATTCAGGAAAAACACGGGGCATGGAAATCCTCTCTCAGCTGAGCTGAATGGGATCCTCCAAGGCCTGAGACTTGCTATTAAGAGACCGACAGGGAGTTACTTCTCCCAGGTTGGCTATTAGTTAGTTGTTTTCTTGTTTCTATCTTCCTATTATATCCACACACAAAATAGCTGGACTGGGCTAGCATTTGATTTAAATATGTCAGATTTGTGTAAAATACTTTGGGTCTGGCCTGGTTTATTAACTTTATGTAAGTATAAATTATAAATCTGGTCTAATCTATATTTAAAAAACAAAAACCTTGGTCTAAGCATGTTAGCCTATTTAAGTCTATTAGACATTCAATAATTAAAATAATATTACTTTATTATTCAAAATTATTAAAATAATAATTTTATTTATTTTATTTAAAATAAATAATATGATATAAGCTGACTTATAGGCTCGACATGTAAAAAAAATATATGACCTACTTTCGAAATAAGCTATTTTAAAAGTGAGTTATTTTATTTGACTATATATAATAGACCGAGTCTGACATAATGTAAGTTGGGTCGTAAGTCATTATTAGGTCGCTTGCCCCATTTATACCCTTAGTTTAGGCTTTATCGGACATCGTGAGATATTGAGAGCGGTATCCAATGACTGTTTTTTTGTGAAGGTAAGGCAAAACTCAACAACTAAACAATTCTAATATTATGAGACCTACTAATAGCACAAATATCACCTAAAAATAAAATACCGAGTCTTGGGGTACCTGTCTTGTGCGTAGGGGTGTCAAAACAGGTTGACACGACACACATTTTTACACGAACACGACACGAATTTTTATTCGTGTCAAAATCCTCAACACTAACACGACATAAATTTTTTGCAGGTTGACATAACACGATACGAATAACACGCAAAATAGGGGTTAAAACTGTAATTGACAAAAAAAATTAAAAAAAGGGTCCAAATTAAAAAAAAATTAAAAAGAAATTATAAAAAATAAAAATAAAATAATTAAAAAATATATGGGTCAACACAAACACGAATACGACACGAATTTTTTACATGTCATTTTTCTCAACACGAACACGACACTATTTTTTTTGCAGGTCAACCCGAACACAAATTTTTGTGTCGTGTCGTGTCGCGGGTCGGCCCGCATGTCATAACTTATATTGACACCCCTACTTGTGCGCACTGATTCCCTTCACAGTATGTGTGTTGCAATAGCCTTAGATCCCAATATTTATTTATCCAAGGCCAAATGCAAGTGACGATTTGTGACTTTTCAGCAGCATCACCTGTATTGGTAAACATGATCACCCTAAAGGAGTCACTTTCAAGAATAACTCTTCTAAAGTCTTTCCTCCAAGAAAATTTCAAGCCCTTTAGGATGCCCCATAGTTCAACTGTGAAGGTGATGATATTCCCACACGGTAGACAAACTCACCCAACCATTGCCCATCATGTTCCTTACATATCCCTCCACACACAGCTGCCTAAGGTTGTGCATGGGTCAGGTTTTTGTCCGACTCGACCCAACTTGGTTTTTATAGGTCAGGTATTTTGACCGACCTGCTTTCATTTGATCTAAGTCAGGTCTGACTTGGTTTGGATTTTGTTGAACTAGTTTAGAATCGGGTCGGATCTGACCTGACTTGGTTTTTGAAGTGGGTCTCACTTGGTTTCTGAAGTGGGTCAAATCTGACCGGACCCGTTTTTGACTTGATTTCCTCACAAAATTTGATCGAAATTTCTACGTTGCAAACGACAAAAATTTCGTCACAAAATTATTTTTTTGTCGGAATACTTTTTGTCGAAAAGCGACGAAATTTTTTACAAAAATAAATTTTCTATCGAAATTTAGTTTCCGTCAAAAGTTTTGACGAAAATGATTTCTTTCATCAAATGTTTTAAACGAAAAAAGATTTCTGTCAAAAATTTTGAGGGAATGTTTTTTCGTTCAAAATTTTGAGGGAAATATTTAATCCGAAACTTTTGACGAAATTTAGTTTCTCTAAAGAATTTTGATAGAATATTTTTTTCGTCAAAATTTTTTATCGAAATATTTTTTGTCAAAAAATTTTACGAATTTTTTTATACATAAATGTGTTCCATTGAAAATTTTGATGGAAAATTTTTTTATCCAAAAATTTGACAAAAATATTTAGTTGAAAATTTTCGATGGAAATGTGTTTCGCTAAAAAATTCGACGAAATTTTATTTTTTTTGTCAAAATGTTTAACGACAATTTTTCCGTCGAAAACTTTCACCGAAATTTGAAATCTGTAAAGAATTTTGATGAAATTTTTTTCCGTCAAATTTTTTTGATGGAAATGTGTTTCGTCGAAATTTTCGATGGAAATTGTTTTGAGGTAAATGTTTTATTCGAAATTTTCGACGAAATTTAGATTCTCAAAAGAATTTTGACAGAATATTTTTTCCAGTTCAAAAAATATAAGTATTTATAGATCAGGTCAAGATCGAATTAAGAGCATGGTAAGTGAACCAGTTTTTTTGCACACCTCTACACTGGAGTGCCTTTAGCTGCCCCGTCTGTATTTGATGACTTTATTGTGTACTTAGTTGAGCTGAACTTTGGTGTTTGGAACGAGCTAAAGGGCAAACCCTCCATGTACAAGGCTCTTGACTTGTGAGAATAGCGATGAAAATCGACGGTACATCATCTTACTTTTGCATTTTAGCAAAAAAGGTATTTTTTATTTTTAAACTCGTGACCTTTCAATTATAAAGAATAACCTTATCATTGCTCAATGACAGTTTGGACCCGAGCTAATTCAGGAAAATTAGCATCTGCCTTTTGCGTTGTAATAGTCCAACCTACCTTTAGCCAATGTGACATGAACATTTATAATGTATCATGAGATCCCTGGATCAAACCATTATAACAAAGTTCGAATTTAAGCTTGTAGACTTTACAACTCAACCAATCCATTTTAATAAATGACAAAAATAAAATTAAGCCCATGCATGTTATTTAACATCATCTCACATATATTCTTTATTGACATTAATCAATATTTAGTTTAACTGAGTGGGGAATTTTTGCTATATCTCCTTGATTTGGATTTTGAGGTCTAAAATGGGACCAAAAGCAAGACCGCAAAATTTCATCATTCTATGTCGGAGAAATAGTATCCAAAGTAAGGATTATAAATACAGCTTTCTGAGACAAAACAACAACAATAATACGATTCTGTAGTCAATGGATTGGCTAGCTCCATCTTCTCCTGTCCTCTTCTTCATCCACAGGAGCATACCATTCTGGTCTCCGCTTGGTGTTGCTCAGCCTGTAGTTCAGGAGAAGTTCCTCATCTTGAAGAGTCCTAGTAGCTATCAAAACAAGAGATTTAAGAGTTGGAACATGTGATCCACTATCTTTTGACACTCCAGATTTGAACCAAAAGGTGCCAAGTCTCCTCACATTTACTTCTGCATTTCCAAACGATATATTTGGAATGTAAACTCTCATGTTGTTTTCAGTCAATGGAAAGTCATAAGGGCAAATCATGACATTTGGTTGCACCCCCTTTGGAGGGTGATTGGCAAAATGAGCCAAAGCTAATGGGTTCCTACGCTCAATTACTTCACTGTTATCTCCTTGGTTGCCTTCCAAAGGCTTACTCAGCAGTTTCCAGATCTTCTCTGAGCCTCTCTCAGTTCCTTTCATATCACGCTTGATTTCTCCAGTTTTTCTACCATTCCACAGTTCTCGCTCGTAACCTCCAAAACCCCAAGGTTGGGCATTGATGACATTTCCATCATATCTTGTAATCAAATAGGGATTCTGTGCATCAACCTTTGGGTACCCTGGAATATAACGATAATAAGCTGGAGAGTAGACTACACCAGGATAAAAGGCCAACACAGCACCAGCATCTACTACACCATCTAAAAAAAGACCCTGGCCAGCATCCTTGTGAGATATTTGAGAAGGTTTAACATTAAGCGTGTAGCCAAGTTGATCTTTTAATTTCTGAGAAACTTCAGCTTGAGTTAGCGGTCTTGTCTGCGGGACAGCTGCTCCAAAAGCACATCAATGACAAGTGGCTACAGTGAACAGGCAAAAAGGAGAAAATTTCACAATAATATGAAATTATAAACAAATAATTAAAGGTAAATTGTAACTAAAATAAGATATATTTTCTATACCCTTGTGGATCTAAAGGAAAAGAAACAGTATAAAATGAGTAAGTGGCAATTAAGAGATGTAGTGTTGAAACAAATTGACATGTCAACTTCATGAATATTTATACAAATATGGGCATTCCTCCTCTGGAAAGCACGGAAGCATAATAATGGCATATATTCATTTATAACGGAGAAAAATATAATTAACAAATTTGAGCATTTGATCCAAGAATGTCTTAAGACAATGTGTGACGCACACATATAGAGAGAGTAAACAAGTTGGTTCTATTATGGTTATGTATGGTGCCTAAAACACGAATTACATCAAGGATTAGGATATTTGGATTAAGAAAAGATGTACAAGTTTGAGAACATGTTATGTCTTTTAGTGTCAAATATGTCAGTTTTAAACAAGTCCCAACTGTACCTGGTTGCTAATTGCTAAGGCTACTTCCACTCAAATTCTAAGTGAAATAAAAACCCTAAAAAACAGTATTTATTGATGACAACAAAAGTTGAACAAAAGATGAAAAAATTGTAAAAGGCAACCAAAAGAAAGGGGGGAAAAACTCACCAGGATTATTAGGAGTTGGACCATTCCTACCCACAGCAAAACTAAGCCCACTGCGGCGAGGCAAAATGCTTGCTTGTTGAGAAACAAGGGGGTCATTTTCATTTGGAAGAAGAATTTCATCCATGAATGCACAAAATGTTTTAATTTGTGAATGAACATTTTCTTGTACATGCATCTGTTGATCAGTGACAGAGGCTTTACTGGCCATTTCAATAATCTCTTCAGCATCTGCTTCGTCAGCACTTTTCCCCAACCGATTGTAGCTGGATATTAAGTCTTTGCATGAGCGAAACATTTCGAGATGTAAAAAAGGAAAAGAATCACATCACACACACAACAAAATTGAAATCATTGGCATTAAAAAAATATGAACCCACAAAAGCATCAAGTAAACAACAACTTATCTATGTAGTCTTAACATCGAGGACCTAACATCTTAAAGTTCAAATTTACTTAACATCTCAAAGTATTTGACAATTCTACCTCTGCATAAATGTGCCCTTACTATTCATGATCAATGTATACAACATTAAATCACTAACCTTGAATAAAGGTACAAGCGGTTAATGTCAACCTCGAATTGTAGTTGTCTTGGATCTTTAGAAAAAGCAGGGCGTTTTGCAAGGGTTTTCACAGCCTGAAAACAAAATCAGACCAATATTGATTGTTGTGATAAGTTTCACAAGAGTCACAACATGAATACAGCTTAGCATTAGCACAAAACTCTGAAGAATTTGTAAAAGCTAATCCCTGCAAGAATTAATATATCACAGTACCATCAATTAAGTATAGAGTCCATCCTTTCAGATCATTGATATTCTCATAACCCATGTGGAACAACAGAACATTATGCTAATATATCACATAGTTATATGACCTTTTGGTGAAAGTTCTAGTAACTCAATAAGTGGTCATGAGTACAAAATATGGAGAAAATAACAAAAGATGAAGAATAAAAAGAATTGAACGTTCAACTTCATGCTTTTTAGGGGCATGTATGAAATTCAGCATATGACATAAGCACTTTGAGAGTCTTCCGGTGTAACGGATTATGCTATACTGGCCACCAAACAAAAACTATTATTCTCTAAATGAGTTTTGGTCACTCATTCTAGACTGCAAAGTCCTCTATAAGGTCATTATAATAAACCCATCTAATTTATTTATCTCATAATTAAGTAACCAAAGAGGACAATGCAGTGCTAAAGCTGCTCCTTTGTGATTGAAAAATCATGGGTCTGAATTCAAGAAACATTCTCTCTGTAAATATGCAAGGATAAGACCGTATATAAGGATTGCCCTCACCCCTACCATAGCTAGTCGGGTTTTAATAGGAAGTGATTTTTTATCTTTTACAATTAAGTAACCAAGAATGCTATTAAGTATTACAACAATGAAATTCGAAGGTAAGAATAATAATATTTATACATATTTAAGCATAATCTCACCAAAAGATAAGAAATTCAACATCAACATCAACAACACATTTATCCCAAATTAATTGGGGTCGGTGGTAGATGAACTCACATGAAAGATACAAAACGGTTGATAAAAAGTAAAAAAGCAAAAAATAAATAAATAAATAAAAATAAACAAATAAAATAAAAAAATAAAATAAAATAAAATAAGATAAAATAAAATAAAAATAAAATAAAATAAAAATATATGTATATATAAATAAATAAAAGTAAAAAAGAAAGGTACAAGAAAAAGTGGGGGAAATGAAGGGGAAAAGGACTAAAAATGGACCATCTGGAACATAGGAATAAGAGCGGGTCTAACCCTCCACCATACTTATAGCTTTTCTCCATTCCGTTCTAAGACATACTGTCCGCCAATCTATATCCCACTCCATTAAATCTTGTTCTAAGACATATTTAAGCATAATCTCCACCAAAAGATAAGAAATTATTTATACAATAAGCAATGCAATGACATATGGTCAAAATGATTGTGTCATAAGATAAGGATATATACCTCTCGAAATTTCTGGAACAAAGAAGCCATCAGTAACTCAGATGAAAGAAAAAGAACCTTTTCACAACTGAATGTGCTTTTAATGCAATATTGAGCTTTTTTATTCTGGAAATGTACTGCCAAAGAAAAAAATAAAAAAAAGAATGGCTCAATACAAGTTATGAAGAGGTGCCTTGTCTTAAAGTTAAAAACACGAAAACATCTGAAGAAAGTTAAATATAGTCTACATAAATCAAAATATCACATGGTTAATAATAAACTATGAAGAGATTGACAAAACCTAGTAACTATTAACTTCAAATATGCTGTCACAAGTCGATTATGAAAACAAACTCAAATCGTTATCTAGTTACTTACTGTTATGCGAACTATTCCCCAACATAAGTAGATATACACATTGCATTGTTCAACGAAATGAAACGTATATGTAATAATGATTGCAAGAAGGGGAAAGAGAATAAAGGAAGAGAGAACCGAACCTTGGAACGATACCCTCGCCGCAACTGTGAGCGAGATCAAAGTATACACAGCTGCACCCAGTAACACTGAGTAAGACTTGTGGGCTGGGCTTGGGCCCATGTATATATATTAAAGTTAAAGTCTTGATATTAGGAGTAAAACTTTTTTATTAATAGAAAAAAGTGAATTTCTCCAAAAAAAATTATTTAGTAAGTTAAAATATTTTTCAAAAATATTGACTCAAGTTTTTTTATTTTATATTTGGTTAATTATTAATGATTTCTTAGAATATGGGCTGATTTTATAAAATTAATATTTGATGAATTTTTGAAAATATAAAAAAAAGCTATTTATGTTATATAATATAAATGGGTTTTATAATTCTCATGTTAAAGGAGAATTGAAATCTTATGTTGTAGAGATAAAAAGTATGTGGGACCCATGTGTTAGAAAAAATTATATGTAGGACCCATGTCAGCACGAAAATCGAAAAATGTGTAGAAAAATTGTAATTCTCATGTTAAATGAGAATCATAAAATCCAATATAAATTATATAAAAAATTTCCAACCAGGTGAAAATATAAGAGTATCACTTATCTGGTGATATTATTTAATGAGATTCTTATTCACAATTTTAATTCTTAAGACTCTTATTTTACAGAAAATTTTTAAGAATAATTATACTAGGGTGGCAATACAGGTATTGACCCGCGGGTTGACTTGAGACCCGACCCGTTAAAACGCGTGTCCTGTCAACCCACGGGTAGGAGCGGGTCATGTACGGGTTGTGTAAATGTGACACGTTTTTTTTCGTGACGGGTCACGAGTCAACCCGCGGGTTCATGTGTCTACCCGTACATGGTTATTTTTGTAATTTTCCATGAGATATGTCATTATATTATTATTTTTATTCATTTATATATTGATATATATAGTCATTATTATTTATATATTATTATTTTTATTCATTTATTTTTGTAATTTTCTCAAAAAACAGAAGCTAGTCTATTTTTATTTTTTTGTTTTAAATTTATTTATTTTTCAAAAAATCTCACTTTTTTTTAATTTAAACTTTTGCGGGTCGTGTCGTGTCAATCCGTGACCCGCAACGGGTCGTGTCCGGGTTCATATTTTTTGACCCATTTACAAAACGTGTCGTGTACGGGTCGTGTCGAATAGTGTACGTGTTGAATGCGTGTAGTGTCGGGTTGACCCGTATTGCCACCCCTAAATTATACAAAACGTGGATAGGATTCCTAATTTGAGTTTCCTTGTAATCCAAAAGCGTAAAGTCCATTTTGGGTCCCAAATAAAAAATATGGTTCTCACTTTAATCCCTAAAAAAAAAAATTAGTCCTGATGTCTCTAAGAAATTAAAAGTGGATCCATTTTAGTTCTTTTGATGGACTAATATGGGTTTTTTTTTAATTTGTAAGGAAGCATGATTTTAACTAAATAGATCCATTTTGAATTTTTTAGGAACCTTGAGACTATTTTTTTTTAAGGGCCTAAAGTAAGAATCATATTTTTTGTTAGGAACCCAAAAAGGGTTTTACTAAATCTAAAATTTATTCCTAATTTCAAAGATTATTTTTTATATTTTAATAAATTTTTATTGTTCTCCCATTGGTGGCTTAAGGAATAACTAAGTTTGACTTCAGCTGTTAAACAAAATTCTACAATATTAAAAGTAATAAAATACTCATGAGGAGAGTACAACTCAATAGCCAAATGAATATTAGTTTCAAACTTACGGTATAAGAAAATTGGTTGATTTCTATTCGTTTAATGATTATAGTTTATTGAGTTATATAAATTAATTAATTATAAATTTTAAATAAATTATAGTCATTAGATGAACAAAAATCAATATCGAAAATGGGGAGTCAAACTCCGTCGTCTTACATTAGAGTTAAAATATATCTGTTATATATATATATATATATATATATATATATATATATATATATGGGAAGGATATTGTAACAACCAAGTTATGTTATTACCATGTTACTACCAATCAATTTCACCGTTAGATCAATTATATTCATCCAATAATTATATTTATTTTCATCTTTGTATGGTCATGATTTTCCAAATTTAATACTTTATATTTATTTTGACCTTTGTATGGTTATGATTTCCCATATTTAAGGCTTTCACTTTAAATATGGAGAATCATAACCATATAAAGAAGGAAATAAATACAACTGTTGGATCAACATAATCGATCTAACGGTGAGATTGATTGATAGTAACATTGTAGTAACACAATTTAGTTGTTATAATATCATTCCCCTATATATATATATATATATATATATATTAATTCCCAAAAATTTGGTGTCAAATTTTAATGTTTGACACTAAAGTATCTTATCCATATATATATATATATATATATATATATATATATATATATATATGGGTTTGTTTTTTCTAAAGTTACTTTAGATAACTTTATCTAAAATTCATCGAAACGACGTCGTTCTGGGACGAAAATCATGGTGTTTTTGTAATTTTAATTTATTTCAGGGTTATAATAGTCTTTATTATTCTAATTTTTTAATTTTTCAACCTTAAAACGACGTCGTTTTGATAAACATTAGACAAAATTGTCTAAAGTAACATCAGAAACTTTTTTCCCTATATATATTGTTGTAGTTGTTTTTTTTTTGGAACAATTTTGTTTTAGATTTTGAATGCTTATTTCTTATTTCTTCCGTTGCTAGACGAGGATGCCGTTTCATCCGGGTTATCAAATCTATGGAAAATGTAACCCTCGTATTGCCGGATACCAAAAAAAAAAAAAAAAACATTCATGTACATTCATCGAAAAACATGTTTATTCTTTTTTTTAAACCGCGGTACCCACACAAACTTATCCCTTCGAGGTATTTGATTGGGGAGATTTTTTGAGATTCTCTTAAAAGTAATAATGATAATCTTATTTATTGACGATTCATATAAGGTTTCTGAAATTTTTTTAAAAAAAATTATTTTTTTAAAATTTTATTTTATGTATAATTTTTTTTTTTAAAATGACGTCTAAAAATATCACCAAAGTGGTGGTATTCTTGGAATTCTTTCCTAGGTATTGAAAAAAGTTTACACTTTTTTTTTTGAATAAAATCTCAATAATATTTTAGTCTGCTAAATAATTTTTTGATAATATTTTTGGAAAATTGACTTTTTCATTATATTCCTGAAAATCATAATTCTGAAGCATAAAAATAATTTATCCGCTATCAAACATACCAAATTTTTTTTGTATCTATGTGGTTTATTTGTAGGGTCCTTGGTGTTCACCCTTACTGTTTCGTCTCATTAAAGAAATGGATTCTCTCATTGAACGTGAACTTTTGGAGAGACCACAGTGACAGAAAATTGTACCAATATCTTGCCTAGAATTGGCAAGCTTGTTTATTTGATAAAAATTATCCGTGATACAAATATTGTGTCTTGTGAACAAGGTGAACAATGACCTTGTAACAGATTCATTGATTCTTAATGCATATCAAATTGTTCTTCTTATTGATCGTGCTATTTTTATCTTATTATCTGCATCACCTAGTATATTAATTTATTTGCCTACACTTTTTTACATTTACGTAGGGATCTATGTAGCACCGATACTGACACGGGACACGTGACACTCCGACACTTTAATTCTAAAAAATGTTAGATTCCGACACGTTAGGACACATTTTGATATTAAATAATATTTTTAATTTATGTGGTGTATATTATATATAATATTCAATAATTTAATAAAAAAATGAATCTAAACTTATAATATTCATATAAATTTTGCAAAAAACATAAGATATCTCAAATATTTATATTAAACTCAAAAACATAAGATATCTCAAATATTTATATTAAACTCAATAAAATAGTAATCGTAATCCAACGAATCTAACTGTTGGAACTAAAAACTCAACGCAATGTAACCTTTAAACCTTTTTTTAAATTTCTATAACGTGTGTTGGAGTGTCGGGGAGTGTCAGAGTGTCCGAGAGTGTCGGGAAGTGTCAGACACGACACGTCAGGATTTTTGAAGCGTCGGTTCATAATAGGGGATTCATGTGTGGAAGTTTTAATGTAGGTTATTTTGAAAATGTTGTTCCTTAATTACCACCGGAAGGTTTCACTAAAAAAACTCTTTTTTCAAATAAAACACGTGCTTCTATAATCTTGTTATAGTTTATTCCTATCTTTAGTTAAATAAATCTCATGATTAAGGTAATTATTTAATATTAATAAGCCTTCAACTAGATGATTAGGTGAATCTCTTACGAAATTAGAGAGTCCGGTAGCAAAGATTTTTTATATAATTGTCGATGAGAAATTCTCTGTTATTCTTAGATTTAATATTCTCAAAGGTTGAGATTTGATTAAAAGTTTTTTAAATGATATGTTAAATCTAATCCAATGTCATAAAGTTCATGTACTATTTTTTATTGGGTAATACTTCTCTTATGTTGTATAAGAGAAGTACTATCTCATGCTCAAACAAAAAGTAGGAGAGAGAAAAAAGTTAAAGGTGAGAGAGAAAAAATTTTGTGGGACCCATTTGAAAAATATGAGTATAGGAGATAATATTTTGTTTATGTAACATGAGAAAAGTAATTCCCTTTTTTATTATATTAAGTTTATTACTCGTACATTAAAATATCTCATTATCTATTTACAAAATATAAATATATATATATATATATATATATATATATATATATATCATTATCAACGGAGTTTCTTCACTTTATTTTGACCCCCTCATAAGAAGAAAAAAAAGAAGTTGAATGAATGACGTTTCTGAGGCATGAATGACAGGTTTGCCTCTATCTTCTTCATTGTTCTAACCAAAATTTATAGGGAAATAATACTTTTATGCTACATAAGAGTAGATCATTTTCCTACAGTAATTCGTTTTTCGTGCCAACTAATTTTTCTTTTCTTTTTTAATATAAAATATGAGACCCACATTTAATTTCTCTCTACTTTTTTTTATCTCCT